ACGACACTAGTATGGGTTTCTTGAGTGACAAAATAAATAGGGACATAGTTGCTCTCAAGCAGTGGTTTGACGCTAATCAGTTAACACTGAATATATCGAAAACTAATGTCATGCATTTTAGGTGCACACTTGAACCTATCAAACTTGATGACATTTCCTTGTCGAGCACCAATGAGAATAAATTTCTAGGGCTTCTCATTGATAGCAGACTTAAATTCCAATCACACATAGAAAATCTTAGGAAAAAACTTGCTTCCAACTGCTTTGCAATGAGAGTTCTCTCTGGAGAGCTTGATTCACAGACCGTGAGAAATGTATATTTCTCACTCATAGAAAGTCACTTAAGATATGGACTGTGTTTTTGGGGTACATGTTCTGCGCAGTTGTTTGATAGTGTGTTTGTGCTGCAAAAAAGAGCCATAAGGTATTTGAGTGGAGCTAAAATGAGAGATTCATGTAAACCTTTGTTCATAAGACATAAAATTTTAACACTTCCCAGTCTATTTATTTTAGAGACAGTTTGCCTAGTTCATAAAAAATATAGAAATAGCTTGCATGCAACAGGTTTGTATAACACGAGGCAAACTTATAATATAATACTGCCAATACCATCCTCGACACAAATTAAAAATTCTATTATATACAATAGTCGGAAATTATTTAATCACTTACCTGTGGAAATAAGACAAGTGGAAAGCAACAAAATATTTAAAGGGATGGTGAAAAGGTTACTAATTGAGAGGGCTTATTATAACTGTACTGAGTTTTGGAATGATAGATTTTGACTGTATCAATTGATTGGCTCTGCCAATATCATTATTATTATTATTTTTATTTTTATTTTCATGATTTGACTTTTGTAATTTGTGCTTATTGTTTTATTCCTGTAGCGCACGTATAATGTATATATATATATTTTTTACCTTCATTTTAATTTAATTTGTGTGACATAATTATGTGAGTGATAGGTAGTTGACGTCCGTGACTACTTCTAAGTTTTATTTTTATTTTTTGTTTGTTTTTGCCTCAGTTTTTACAATTCTTTGTGTTGGTTTCGATTGTTGTGGATCATTTTTTGAAATTTTTATCCTTTTTATGATAGATAGATAATAGATAATTTTAATTGTTTTATTAGGTTTAAGGCCTGCTTTGTCTATGACATTATTTGTTTTTTTGACAATAAAGCTTATTTGATTTGATTTGATTTTTAATTTCAAATTTGTTTGTATGTTGGTATATTTTCCTTGTTAGTACTAGTTACATTGGTTTGTTATTTAAGTTTAGTGTTCAGATATTTTAAAGCTTCTTAATTTTATATTGTATTATTTTAAATTCAATTCGAATACCATGCAAAACATTTTTTAATAATGACAAAAGTTACTTTCTGAAACGAATTAACCATTTCTTTCTTAACTTTAAAATAATTTGTAAATGTTCCCTTTCAAATGATTTCTGTTCAGGAGTCTCATCAGTCATCACCCATCACTAAAAGAAATTTCGAATCAGCTAAACATTCAAATTCAAAATAACGAATTTCTTGGAAATCTATCCCTAAAATATGTTGAGAAGTGCCTTTGTCCATCCCGAATGGACTCCAGAAACAATAGTTTAAGTAAGTACTTTTTTCGCTTGAAAAATGTAATTAACTCACAATAGTTATTTCCCTTTTCCAGGGCTTGAAAGGAAAAATACAGAAAAATATATTCCGAAATGTTGCTGAAAGCTTGATAGTTTCTTTTTTTTTTTTTTGGTCCTGTCCTCTAACTCACAAAAGTAAAACGTATTATATTATGTTTACATTCTTAAAGTTGCCTAGGTCCTCTAGAATAACCAGCAAATCCATGGGATTAAAAATTACCTTTGCTCTTCCAAAAATGGTTCAACTTCTAATTTTACTCATACCTTGTACATCTTCAAAATATTGACGCAAAGCACATTATGATTATCAATGATCAGAAGTTTATAGGAATATAAATAAACCTGGACTAAGTCAGATATTAAGTTGTCAATAATTATTGCGGTTTGTAGGTTGAGTCTCACCTCATACTGATTTTCAGCATCCATAGAATATTTGATTATTTTTGATTAAAAATATCAAAATACATACGTACAAATGTTGAAATGCAATCTGACAATCATTAGGAACAGCTTGTAGTGATGTAAAATGCTCGAGCAAGTATTTTAGGAGAACGTTCTCCGAGCAGGATCGACAATTAACGAGCATAAACGAGCAAAAACGAGCAGGACCCGAGAATTTATGCTTTTCATCAGAAGCTGAATAAAACAAAACATTTTTCTAAATAAATTCTGATTTTTCTCAAATTTCCCGAAATTCCCAAATTTCTTGTGAAAATTCTGAAAATTCTTCATAAATGTGCTGAAAATTCTCAAACTTCTTAGGAAAATATAATACATATTTAGGACCGATACTTTTGCTCTCGATTAACAAATTTGATATGTTGTCAAAGTTTTGCATGGGCCAAGGTCTATATAGTCGGAGAGCCAGCGCCAAAAAAGTGCAAGAGTTTCATGAAAGCTGAAAATTTAATATAAGCTTGTAATTGTGATGTATATAACTATACTCGAGTCAGCAAGTGAGGTAGCGGGACAAGCTACGCCCACGCACCTTTGAATGTGTAAAAAATTAATCGCGATGAAAGAGTTTCATGACAGCTGAAAATCTCTCAATCCATTGTTTATTTGATAAAAAACATGACGGACATGGTCAGATAGCATTATGTTAGGACAACTAGAGTCAGCATGCCTATACAGGGTGTCCCACGGTGGATGGCGTATCAGACGTTTATGGAGAACTAAAAAGCGGATCATTTTGAAAATTTGGCAACCGGGATAAACGACCATGATCTACACTTTAAAAATATCTTTGACCATGCGGTGTTGCCGCTTCTACTCTAAACTAGTGGCAACATCACTATTTTAAATGGAACACCCCGTATTAAATTGCATATTTGGATTCTACGTAAAATTCTGAGCAGATTTCATGTGATATACCCTATACCTAAGTTCAACTGTTTTGGAAATATTGACAGTTGAAAATTGACTTTTTGCAACTTTGACAGACTGTGAAACCTAATTGGTTAATTTTAGAGGAAAACCGATTTCACATTCCTATCTTAGATTTTGATAAACTATCATTTGACACCAACTTTGAACTTAACCGGAGATTAAATTTAACTGAAATTTTTAATCATGGATTTAATTCAAAGATGGTGTCAAATGATAGTTTATAAAAATCTAAGATAGGAATGTAAAATCGGTTTTCCTCTAAAATTAACCGTTCCGGTTCTACAGCCTGTCAAAGTTGCAAAAAGTCAATTTTCAACTGTCAATATTTCCAAAACAGTTGAACTTAGGTATAGGGTATATCACATGAAATCTGCTCAGAATTTTACGTAGAATCCAAATATGCAATTTAATACGGGGTGTTCCATTTAAAATAGTGATGTTGCCACTAGTTTAGAGTAGAAGCGGCAACACCGCATGGTCAAAGATATTTTTAAAGTGTAGATCATGGTCGTTTATCCCGGTTGCCAAATTTTCAAAATGATCCGCTTTTTAGTTCTCCATAAACGTCTAATACGCCATCCACCGTGGGACACCCTGTATAGGCATGCTGACTCTAGTTGTCCTAACATAATGCTATCTGACCATGTCCGTCATGTTTTTTATCAAATAAACAATGGATTGAGAGATTTTCAGCTGTCATGAAACTCTTTCATCGCGATTAATTTTTTACACATTCAAAGGTGCGTGGGCGTAGCTTGTCCCGCTACCTCACTTGCTGACTCGAGTATAGTTATATGCATCACAAATACAAGCTTATATTACATTTTCAGCTTTCATGAAACTCTTGCACTTTTTTGGCGCTGGCTCTCGGACTAATAAGTATGATGTGGTTAGAGCACATTCTAACCCCTGATTATTTTTAACTGTCAAATGAGAGCAAAAGTACCAGCATTTAGGTAATCTCATAATTTGTGTCATGTTTGACAACAATAATAATTCTAATTTGGGGTTTTCTGTGAAACTTCAGCATACAATTTAGGAGACTTTTTTTTTTGATAATAAAATAAAATAGTGATTTTAGTTTGAGTATATTCCAGTACAACGCTACCTTTGCTTACAAAAAAATAGCTATTGCTGCTAAGTTGCTTTCTGGTTCTCGTGCTCAATATTCGATATATCTCCGCCTTCAACAGCTCGTGCTTGAGAACGTGCTGAATATTCTCTATCATGCTCAATGTGCTCCGAAGGTAATATTCAGCACGAACCTTTTTTTCGTGCGCGAACGTTCGCGAATGTTCTCGAAAGCACAATCAGAACGTTCCCTTGTTCACATCACTAACAGCTTGTCCTAATATTTCAATAGAAAATGCTAGAAGAAAGCATGTTTGGAACAAATTTAAAGCACATTTTCTGGTTTAGATGCAAATTTGAACAAAAAATGTGCCTCAGAATGGATCTGTATGACTATTCGCTTCAATTTAGGTTGTTATATTCTTGCACATAAACTTTTGTGACTACTAATAAGAAATCGCAGATAATATTATTGAGATGCAATCTCACACTCATTTAGGATTATTCCTCTAAATACCCCAATGATAGCCGCAAGGAAATAAATTTAGGTGTAGATCCTGTTCCTGTATTTTAGTTATGTCCAAGAATTGAGACTAAAAGAAACTATCCATCTATGTATCTGAATAGATAGGAAATAGGCTTCAAATTTTAAAAATATTTAGCTCAGGTATCATTAAAATTCTTCAGATTCTCGTTGGTTGTAAACTTGAAATACCTTTTAGAGCCTCCTTTAAGTTCCAGATGTAGAACACGTATGAGAATTTAATGCACATGAAAAAATATAGTACAATTTCATCAATCTATTGAGTAAAGAATTAACTGCGTGTCTTCTCTTGGAATATTAATTTTTTGGAATACATAAATCTCTAACTCTAATTTGGGACAATTCTCTTTTTTTCTAGGTCATGAAAGATGTTGCAGAGTACACTCGCGTCACTCCCCAACAAAGAATATCTTCCCTCAAAACATACCTTGACAACGTGCGAAAATGTGAAAAGGCACAAATGGTGAGGAAACTGACTTTATACACAGTGATTTATATAGCCCGTGCATTAGAAGTTGTCTTGGGCTGGTATTCTGGTCCTCGAAAACGATCACCGCTTCTCAGTCGCTCGGCACTTCTAATGTAAATTTACATTAAAAGTGCCGAGGGACTAAAAAGCGGTGAGCGTTTTCGGAAAGGAAAATACCGGCTCATAGTTTGCAGGTAAATTAGTAGAAATATGATCTAATCCACCTGCAAGCTAATGCATATGGGCTACGTGAATCACCCTGTATATAAAGGTGGCAAGATTTATTAACAATCACGTTCTTCAAACAGATTTTGGCCGAATGGGGTCTACGTATTTCAGAAGGAAATTTAGATCTTCCAGGCCGACAATTGGAAACAGAACAAATTATATTTGGAGATTCCGTGACTAAATCGGCGGGACCTGGAGCCGATTGGAACAGAGACTTGGCTAATAATAAAGTAAGAATTATTATTTGTTGTTGTGACATCTACATTTTGGTTAGAAGTCAAATCAGTTCCTTGCAATTAGATTAGAGGGGGCTAATGAAGTAATTTTTTTATATGCAACTCTTTGTATGTGTTGTTTGTTCTCAAATTTTAAGCTCTAAAAGTTTGTATTTTATTTTAAATCAATTGATAATAATTTGAATTTTTTTGTGTAGGTTACTTATGCGGTCGATATCCACAGCTGGGTGGTATTTCACACAGCACAAGATACAAAATATGCTCACGACTTTGGATCTCTCATGTGTAGATTGGCTGGTTCACTAGGCATCAAAATTGCCAATCCAAGAATCGACAAATTACCCAACGACAATACAGCCACCTACGCCAATTATGTCAAGACTAGGATCCAGAAAACTGACCAAGTCGCCGTGTTTATTTGCCCATCAATACGGTCCGACAGATACAACCTGATCAAGAACCTTTGCTGTTCTGCCTTGCCGATAGCTTCGCAAGTAATTAATTCCAGAACGCTTTCTAAGCCCGATAAAGTACGATCGATTGTCTTGAAGATTGCTCTTCAAATTAACTGCAAATTAGGAGGGACTTTATGGACTCTAAAATTTCCCTTCAAAGGCTGGATGATTTGTGGAATTGATGTTTATCATGGAGGGCCGTCACAGTCTGTTTGTGGATTCGTTGCCAGTTTGAATGAAAGTATTTCAAGGTGAGTTATAAATAAATCATTCATAATGTAAACTAAGTTAAATTATTGGCGAATAGTTTCCTGATTCTAGTTTTATCCAATATGAGATAATTATTTATAATCAACAATAATAGCTACAAATTAAGACAGTAAAGAAATGATCTATTGTTAAAAAAAAAAGACAGGTATAGCTCTGGTTTGGGTACAAAGGTCTTTGGCGCACCTCCATAATGATATTATAAATTAAATTTTCTCTTAGGTGGCACTCAAGAGCTTTCCACCAAACCAAGGAACTGGGAGACTTTTACAAAAGAGCCTTAACCGCAGCTCTGGAAAGATACAAAGCCGAATGCTTCTCCTTTCCTTCGAAAATCATCATTATCCGTGATGGCGTCGGCGACGGCCAACTAGACCACGTCAAACGATACGAGGTTGAGCAATTTGAAAGTGTCCTACAGGCTTTTCAGCTGACGACAACTCTTTGTTTTGTAGTTGTACAGAAGAGAATAAGTACAAGAATGTTTGCTATCAGATCAGGTATGTAAAACTGGATGTAGGTTTCTTATCAACATAAAAAGATCAATCAAAATATACTTTATTGTCTGAAATAAAATTTCATTGACAAAGCATGCTTATGGTCTAAATAGTCTAATAATAAATATTGTTGGATCAGCAAAAGCAGAGCTTTCTAAAGAGCTATTATTATAGGGTATGTCCCATTGAAAAAAATCGGATTTTGGTCAATATTTGAAATCGAGGCAAAATATAAAAAAAAACTGAAAACTTCACTGAATTCTGCTTAAAAAAGTGCTTCTGGGAACTTTTTACTTTTTTCATAAACAGAAAAGTTATGAAGATTTCACAGTATTGCTAAAAATCGAGAATCGTCCTGTAGCGGCTAAACGGTTGCAGATATCAAAATGCGGTTTGCACCAATCAAAATTTCAAGAAATTTGAGCCTCGGAGTAGGGGGTTAATTTTTTTGTATCTGGCTCAGAAATTGACATTTCCTATTAAAACCATCCAAATTCGGACACCCTGTACATCGAATGGCACTAAGCTTTATCTCAGTCATAGTCTTGAGGAAAAAAAATTATCCTATAAATGTGGCCAAGAGAAAATGCTAGAAATATATTTCAGCTTTCTAAAATAACCGCAAGGGGGCGTAATCCAACTCCCAAAGTACAAAAATAGTTTTATTTTTGAAATTTCAAATGGAAATGTATCTTGAAAATGGTGGCAATGGATTTTTGATGTAATTTCACACAATTTTGTTTCATGACTTTTTACCATAACTTATCGAATAAGATAGTTATGAGCTGTCAAATAATGAAACTCAAGAAAAAGGATAACTTCAAAACGACTCAACAAATTTGGTCGATCTTAGAGACTTTGATCTTAGGTTCGTTGGGGAAACAAAAGTGTGCTCTCTAATTTTGTTGTAAAAAATTAAGATTCTGGTCAGTAGGACTGACTGAAATCAGCCCTTAAAGTAGTAGATTTGTAGAATAGAAGAGAATAAATATAAATACAATGAAGTCAATTTTATAATGAAATTGTTGAGGAAATTGTAAATAAATAACATTTTTTTTTTTAGGGAAAGTAGAGAATCCACCTCCAGGCACAATTTTAGATCATACAGTTACACGGCGATATTTGTATGATTTTTTCCTGGTACCACAGAATGTGCGTCAAGGCACGGTTAACCCTACACATTACATAGGTAAGAAACTGTATAGGGTGTTTCAGAAATAGTGTTACAAACTTTAAGGGTGGATACTTCCTATGAATATTGGTACAGAAACGTTTCGTTTCTGAGGTATTAGTAATATAATTTTTTTAAAAATGTTTATTTTTGTAATATATGTTTAAATTTTCAAGATAAATAGCTGAAATTTCCTCGGAGGTTTGGGGGATGAAGGGATATTTTGTCTTTTTTGGACAACACCTCCTAAACTAAACATTGTTCCACCAGGGTTCATACTTTTTGCCTTCCTTTTTTAACAAATAGAAATTGACTGAAACAAATCAATGACGTCAAAAACGTTCTAAAACCAGAAGTCATTCATTTTAGGCTGTGGTCCGAATATAACCAGGGTTGTGGTTTCGCGGTCCGAAAGTAATCAAATTACTCTGGTTCCTGGAAAAGTGGTTACTTTTGGACCTTGGTTTCCTGAAATCTGGTCCAAATGTTGAAATAGTTATTTTCCGTCGTTTTTAATTTGAAACTTTCCGTATGATGAGCGAGGGGGTGAAGTTTATGGCAAAAACAGGTATGATGTCAGGTGACCATTGGTGTATTAATGTAGGGAGCCACCAGCTCACATTTTTTTGGAGTATCAGATTAAAATCGAGAGACTTTACTGACTATCAAATGTCGGTTTTGTTGGTTTTATTTGTGAATTCTGTCAATTATTCTTCATTTCATAGTTGTGTTCCCCAAGTAACCGTAATTTTCAGTAACCATCTGTCAACCGATTCGGTCGCAATGTGTCATATGAATTAATCTACGACAACCCTTTTTTTCAAGTTATGATGTGTTCGATATCAAAAGTATGAACCCTCGTGAAACGATCTCTAACCGTGCGTTCGGTATTTTGATCTGAGTTCTCTGAGCTTGAATTTACCGTTCGTTTATATAAAAAGTGTACTCGGTGCAGGTTCATTTGCGTTCATTTATTAAAATTTCTGGCACTCTGATACAGCGTTCAACAGCTCTGTTTGCTCGCTGGTCACGTGATTACGGCTCTGCTCAGCACGCTCTGCTTTTTGAGCAAAATACCGAACGCAAGGGATGTATGATACGAAAAAATTGCAAGGTACCAAAAACCTTTGCAATGAAACAGAGAAGCTAGTGGCTCAAAAAAAATAAATTAAAAATTTGCATATAAAAAATTTAAAATGGTTTTGGGTGATGTCCCCCCCCAAAAAAGACCAACCCCTCGATTTATTGTAAAGATTGTGACCATTTTTGAAAAAGAACTAAATATACTATACGCTGTGTACGAAATTTGAGCTATTTATCTTATATTAGAAATTGAGAAATATAATATGGAAAAACATTTTATTTTCTTGAATTTCTAGCTCCAATGCCTCGGAAACGAAACGTTTCCGAACCCATATTCATAGGAACTTTTTTCTTATTTTCATGAGTTCTATCCGTCCTTAAAGTTTGTAACATTATTTCTGAAACACCCTGTATGTATATAATTTCGCAACTTTTGGCTAATGTTTTGTTTTCCAGTATTACACGATAAATGTAATCTAAATCCAGACCATGTCCAAAGACTATGCTACAAACTGTGCCATCTCTACTATAATTGGCCGGGTACTATAAGGGTACCAGCTCCTTGCCAGTACGCTCATAAGTTGGCTGCAATGGTGGGACAAAGTGTTAAGGCTGAACCAAGTCTGGAATTAGCAGATAAATTGTGGTACCTGTAAACCTAATTAGATTAATTATTGGATTTATTAGTTGTAAGTTTTTTTATTTTGTTTATGGAGGATAGTTATTTTGTGATCTTTGCTTATTTATTTTTGGTTAGTTCAATTAACAGTATTTCAGCAATGCTTATATTTTCTCCAGCCATCCTTAACCCTGTTTATTTGTCATAGATATATATTTCTATATGAAGCAACCAAAAAGTATTAATAATAATAACGTACAGGGTGAACCAGTATAAAGGGAACACTCCCTACCTTTTCATTAATTTTTTTTTGTACATGTCATATTAAGACCCGGTTTATTCACCCATAAAGCTTCCTTGATGTTATTTTCACTACCTCATATTTCAACTGGAGCAAAAATAGCTGAACGTGTTTTATCAGACAAATATTTGCACTGCCATTAAGGGCGGTTTAGACTCTCAGTTAAGTTAATTTTTGCAAAACAGCCATTTTGTACAAAATTTGTGCAAATCTATAAGTTATGTATATTCGTTTACACATTCAGTTAATTGGTACTACTGTTCCGAAGTTTTTTATTTGACTAACCTCAAAATAAAGACATCATTTTCTGCTTTTTGTTAATCTCAACCAACAAATCTTCAAAATTATTTACCCAGTTTGACTGAAGTATGTTTAGACTGTCAGATAACTGCACCAATCTCAGTTAATTTTCAAGACGAAACAGATATCAAACGAGCTAAATTTTTGAACTGCGCAAATTAACAATTTCTATTTACATTTAACGATACTTGCACAAATTAACTGAGAGTCTGAATCACCTTTTAGAGATATTTTTATTTTGGGATTCGATATTTTTTTAGGAGCAATATTATTTTAAAAAGATCATGTTTTTTTTGGAAATTCGGATTTTTACGAAGTATGTATGGAAGTAGTAAATCTAATAGGAGAAGAAATATGTAGGTACAATGTACTTATGCAATGTAACAGAGGATTCCACTTTGCAATAATTGAAGTTTCCCACTGTTTTGTGTTCAAAGTTACCTTTCTACAAATTTATCAATAGCCTTGTTTCTTCCATTGTGAAATTTCACTGCATCTTTATTTATATATTTTCTTGTTCTCTTTATTTTTAATTTTTTAGAAAGTATTTGATTTGATTGACTTTGAGAATATCTATATGAGAGCGTTCAAATCTCATCGTCTCAATATTCTATTTTTATATTTGTAGTTTGTAATTCGGGTAAATTCTAGTTAAACTCGCTGGCACTCTAATAAGTCGGTTTTGACAGCTTTGATTATAGGCTTAGTGTATTTCGTTGCATTTAGTTAGCTTTTGGTTTACTTTTGCAATAATTTAAGCATTAATTTTAAAGGAAAAGAGCAATTGAAAAATTGTGAGAAGATAATTTAAAAAAGTAAACCATTGGTTATTTACATCCTAATTTTCCATATTGATTTGGATATGTTAGAATAAATATTTACTTTGTTATGAAAAAGTGTTTTTCCAATTATTGTCTTATTTAAAATCATTTCCCTAGCTTACAATAGTCTTGAACTGGGGAACATTTTGAATTTTTACAGTGAGTAGCTTGGTAGGATCTAAGTTTTAATTTGATCCGAGATATTTAATTCTTAATAGTTTCCCCAAAAATTCATCATATTGTGAATCCCTTGTCTATTTCGGTTATATCGGGTCTTAAACGTACATCGCATTATTGTTTCTGATTCTGAGGATTTTTGACATGACATTTTGACATTAAAGTTCATTGCCTGCCTATATTTTTTTTGCAACCTTTAATGAATGAGGCGTTGAAAATATCAGAAAAATCAACAGAAAAATGTAATTGTTGTAAAAGATATGACTTTGGCACAGGGGACACTGATAAATCAAACTAGACGATTCAACTAGTAACTGTTTTAATTATCCAGAACTAGCAAGAACAATATATAGAACTAAACATATTGCAGGAGCCAGCTGGTTAATAATATCGACTGTTGACCGTTATGGTGCTGTGTTGCTGGTTGCCTCAACCTCAACATCAACTGAAGTCCATGCCACATAGCAACCCAACTACATACAATATTTTACATCCTTTATCTTATAAGTTATAGATTGTCTCTTTGGTTTTTTAACTATGCGTCCTGATCTAGTGGTGGTATTAGATGTTGGAATACAATCTAAACCAGAATCATCAACATTGTATCTCTTTGATTGTAAGAAACTTGCAGCACCATTGTTAGAAGAACCATAACTTAACAGATCACTGTAGTGTCACTATCAATACTAGCATTGTCATCAATAGTATCAAGTTGAGATTGATCAGTGACCCTAAAAGAGCTTTGCGAAAGATTTAAGTCGACCCTATTCCTTCTCACAATGTTTCCGCTAGGATCCTGAACTTGATAGGATCTTGGAGCCTCATCTTTTTGTATAACTAGACCAGGCTTCCAAGTTTTTGTTACATGGTCAAAAAAAGTAACATTGGCGTTATCAGTCAATGGTTCTAAATCTCTTATATTAAGTCTTTTGTTATCCGGGATTTTGTTGTTCTGTTCCGGTCATCCCGAATGTATGAAATCACTAATGAAACTTAACTGAGGGTCATTTAAAGTATATTTTCTGAATTGTTAATTTAGCTGATTTGACATTGGAATATTGTTAACAACTGAGTGAATAGCATATTCTATTTCAGTCAGATTCGAGCTCATTTTGATTGAGATACATACTCTTGGCAGTGCATCAGAAATGTATGTACATTTGCTTACCAGGTTTATAAGTTTCAGTTAAGTTATAATTTGACATTTTCAGTCACATTCTTTGAAGTCTCGGGGATAATGAATGTGAATCTTTTTTAAAAATGGTCTCCAACGGTTTATGATCATTTTGAACTTTAACTGGCAGACCATATACAGGGTGACACAAGGAATAGGAAACAGCCTATAACTTTTTTAATATATATGTTGAAAATCTGAAATTTGGGGAGCTTGAACGAGGCAACTTTTTGAGTTTTTTAGAAGTAAATTGCGTTACCAGTCACTTCCGGTTTAGCCGGAAGTGGCCATAACTTTTGATTTTCAAATAGCACACCCGGTATTTTTTAAGTTTTCTGGCATCAGCAGATCATTTTAAGTATGAGGACTATTTTTGGAAAATTTTTAACAAAAAAAAAATAAATTGAATTAATTTTCAGAAAAAAAAAATCGGCGCTGCCACTGGTGTAAATTGATTTAGTTGGATATTCTTAATATCAGGAAAATCTGTAACTTAAATTTTTTCCTAACTGAACGCCGTAATTTCCCAATTTTTTGATATCAACTTTTTTAAAATCCGCTGAGAAATAACCCAAAAACTTTTGAAAAATCTTTATTTTTAAATACTTTTTTTTTTCTTTTTTTTTTTGGTTTTGTTATAAATCTTTCGAAAATGGTCCGATCATACGTAAAATGATCTGCTGATTCCAGAAAACTCAAAAAATACCGGGTGTCCTGTTTGAAAATTAAAAGTTATGGCCACTTCCGGTTTAACCGAAATTGACTGGTAACGCAATTTACTTCTAAAAAACTCAAAAAGTTGCCTCGTTTAAGCTCCCCAAATTTCAAATTTTCAACTTATATATTAAAAAAGATATAAGTTGTTCCCTATTCCTTGTGTCACCCTGTAGAGAAAAATTAAATTTTGGAAATGAGAAAAGAATAGCTCCTTTTCACTTTGGGCATTTTTTTGCTCAGGTTTTGATAGAGATCTTGATGCAAAGGCAACTCGGTGTCCTTCTTTTAGTAAACAAGTTCCAAGCCCATCTTTACAAGAATCAATTTTCTGGAATAAAAAAAAATAACACAGTAGGAGAGGAGAGTTTGTAAGACAATATTTTAATTGATCAATTGCCAACCCATGCGACTCATTCCAATTCCATGCAACGTCCTCTAATTGTCAGGTTTCTCAGAGGAGCAGTCAGTTTCGATAAATTATGAATGAATTTTGCAACGAACTTGACCATACCTAAAAATCTTGAGAATTTTTGTTTTGATTTAGGAATAGGCATATCTTTTATAGCTTCAATATACTTAGTATTTACTGATATACTGTCTTTTGAAAATATTTGTCCAAAAAGTTTTAACAGATTCTTAATTCAACTGTATTTCTGCTTTATTAACCTTAACATTATATTTTGTGGCCCCTCGTGTGGCCCTAGTAGGTAATACTAATCTCAAATTATGATTGTGTTCTTTTTTTGTGGCTCTAGTTACAGTAAAGTCATCAAAATACAGTTCTACACATTCTAGATCTCCAAACAATTCGTATATTTTTTTTTTTGGAACACTTCTGGTGCGGATGATACGCCAAAAGGTAATCCTAAAAATTGATACCGACCAAAAGGAGTTCCAAAAGTACAAATTTCAGCACTATCCTGCTCCAGTTCAATTTGCCAGTATCCATCACGTATGTCCAACACAGTAGAAATATGTCTACCGGATAACTTTGACAAAATTTCTTCCAAGGAGGGAATTAAAAAATGTTCTCTTTTTATATTTTTATATTTGATTGATCGCAAAATGAGGTGTTTCTGCAGGTTGACATCAGTTTTACAATAGCGGCCAATAAGTGGCATTATTAACGGCATTGTTTATGTTTCAAAGTTGACAATGTCAAAATCTATCTTGGAAAAAAATAAAGTGTAGATTCAATTGAAAGTGATATTAAAAAATGTGCAAGTACCCTATTGGGCCCAAGTCACCATTGGCCTAGCAACGCTGGTAAAGTCGTGAGACTGCGTTCTAACAATTACTTTTGCTTTAGTCTTATTCATTATTGTAGCAGGTACTCTGTCTGGTTACATTCGGCCCTTCATTAAACTTGTAGCAAGTGCTTTGTCTGGTTAGAGGTTTTAATTTAACCCTTATAGCAAGTGCTTTGTCTGGCTGGGGTCTTTTTTCCAACTTACAAGTGTTTTAGTCTGGTTGTAAGTTACCTATCTTATTACGCTCTAGTGCAAGTGCCGTGACTTTAAGTCCTGTCTGGTACTAAGGCCCTTCTGCTCTTCTATCCTAAACCATCAGGATCAAGCAGAAAATACCATCCAGAAAACCACAGTCTCCTACTGGGAGCGTACAATTGGTTTAGCAACAGTAAATAATAATTATACAGGGTGTGCACTTTATGGGCACCACACCTCCCCTTTTTATAGGAAAATTTTTTGTTCCTTGATCAGAAATTTTTCTATCCGTTTGACACAAGTATGTACAGCATTTGAAATTACAAATTTTGGATATGAAACGGACAGCAGCATTTTACATTAAACTATTCTTATATCTAAACAATACTTACAATATAAGATATAAGGAAAATAGAAGTAAGTGTTTGTTGGCAGGGTCGCCATGTAATGGGTTTCTACTATAACCCTCTGGATATTGGGTAACCCAGCCCACTTGTTAAAAAAAGCTACAATAAACTCCTGCGTTTTTCTAATCTTTTTAATAACAGAAATTTTTCATTAAGTATATCGTTATTTGGATTGAAACTGATGGTTTAAATAGATTCAAAATTATTATAACAACATATTAATCGTAATCAAATTTGTGACGGGCTTCTTCCTTATGGTGACGACGAATTGCCTTCCATGTTTTCTTGTTGGATTTAGAGTTGGCTGGAAGGTAATAAAAATGTTCAAATAAAGGTCGATTCACACATAACAGTGACGTTTCAGTGCTGTGACCGGCACGTGATTTTACCGGCGAAGTCAAAATTATTCTCGTAGGAATTTGATGTTACCTATTCCCATCTGCCCGACGCGCAACCGTGACAGTGCAAACAGTGCTGTCGCCGGCACCGTAACGTGATCGTTATATCAGTTCCTGACGATATTTCTGGATTTTCACGGCCGTATAAATTGAATTGGTCCGTGGTTATCCCGTTTTGTATATGACTTGTGCAACTCAAAATACATGGACTCTGATTTCAAGAATGCTATCTGGAGCGTGTCATGCTTTTTCAAATTTCAAATGAACTTCTATCTTGTAGATTCTTGCACAACAATAGGTACGTTGAACGAATTCTCTGACATCCTCTGAAGTATTCAAAAAATTTTGCTGCACCATTTCCAAATCCAAGCTATTTGATCCAAGCGGCAGTAAATGACAAACTGGTCATTTTAATTAAAACCTATCAACTGTCCTCCGTGACCGTGCATGCGCACTGGTCCAGGTAGGGCGTTTCAACCAATAGGAAGGCTGGTGTTTGTTTACAATTTAGGTTATCAAATGTCATTTACTGCCGCTTGGATTTGGAAATGGTGTAGTTCTTTGTATAATGCTATAAATTCCCCTGTAGTCCTGTAGGTACCTCTTTTCTTCCATGCAAGATGGACTCAGTGTGTTTTTGTACCTGTTCTTTTACTTGTTGTTCCATTTTTCGTTCAAAACCATAGTGCGATCTGCAAAAGTTCTTCATTTACCAATATGACAAGGCTCTGATGAAACACTGATCAATATCAATAGCATAGAAATCACTGTGAGTTTACGGCCGGTGAAATCACGTGCCGGTTACGGCACTCTCACGACACTGCTATGTGTGAATCGACCTTAACTGTTAGTAGTAGAGAGGTATGAGAGAGCAGGACCAACTTTTTTGTATCCCGACCCGACCAAAACTACATATTATTCTCGATATTATTAGTCCAGAGCCCATTAGTATTCCAAAAGTTGCCGAATCAGTTGCAATTTCTAAACTTGCATTAATTGGAAATTCCAGCATGAGCATGAATGTGGACACCAACCTTGTTTTTTTTTTTCAACAAAGCGTAGTTTTCTAGGCTTTGAAATTCATACAGAGATGAAAATCAAGAAAACATAAAGCGCAATAAGGATCTAGCGTATACGTGAAGACATGGAAATAATATAGAAACTCATGTCAGATTAATATATTGCTAGGAGTCAAACACAAAGTTGATGCTATTTCAGTTGAGTTGTGGATAAAACAATGTGAACAAGAGGAAAATAATCATTGGGTACGTTCACTAGCAGCACTTAACTGTTGCCAACAGTTGAGTAGTTGGAAAAACAATCACTGCCGATTTTTCTAAGCAGTAAAAGTTAAGGCTTACTCAAGGATAATACACACTACTACTAAAGGATAGCCTATCCTCATAAGGCCTGTGTGGAACAAATCCCCTCTTCCCCCCCCCCCTCACCGCGCCAAATCACCACATTCTAAAACAACTCTTTTTTAGATCTCGTTTTCATCTTCCTCTTTGCCTATTATGGTAATCAGAAATAAATAATATTATTCATCATAAAATTAAATTCTAAACTACAACCTCTAGTGCAAACAGCTTACGACTTGTTAAATGACGTCGTTAATGAAGACTCACCAATATGGCGGCGATTACCAAACACGAGGCCGATAAGCAATCCTTGTAGTGTGTATTATCCTTGAGGCTTACCAGCTCAGTTTATGCTTAAGACATGCGCAAAAGTGTAGGGAGTTCAGGAAATTTACATATGTTCCGCACTCCGCAGTATCTCAACTATCTTCGACTGGTTTACGTTGCGAGTTAGCTGTTGAGTACTGGTGAACGTACCCATTTATTGTACATGATTATTTTTTGTCAATGAACTAAACAAACACACTGGTTGCATAATTGTTTCTACGCAAGAGTTCTTTTCACGTGGCTCCGGTTTAACTAACCGGGTTACAGAACGGTTAGAGAAATGACATACCGTATTCTAACCCGGTTAATAAATTAAGTAACGTGAGGAATACCTACCACTCGAATTTGAGCGGTATGTTGCGGTTTATTAAACCGGAGCCATGTGAAAAGGGTTATTGGTTTGTGCCAGGAAGGACAACAAACAAGAGGGATTTGCATCTCTCTCTTCTCTCTTTTACGTTAGTCGCAATCAGTGCGAGTGAGACAATAATCCCTCCAGATTGCTGGTTTAGCTCAGAGAAAATGTTTTGAAATTTTTTTCACGAGATGTTAGGCAAAAGATTTAGAATAATTCTTACACATCCTGGAGATATACCAAAATAATGGTAAGACTGCAGCAACTCCCCAAGGATAAGCTTTAAACAAGATATTGTGCTTATAATAAAACTTGAATGGAAATTGCGCCACTTTTGCTGTAAATGTGTAAGGATACTTCATGCGCCTTTCAGGCGAAGAAGAAGAAAATTCATCTTTCAAATCATTAACTGTTTTCAGGAGGTAATCCAATATGGCTTTCGTGTTTATGTTCGGTGGTATTTTGAGGTCGCCGATGTTTTTGGGTATTTTTATCTTGGGCATCTTTGGCATCTCCGGCAGCTTCATCAGCTTGGTTTTTGGTTTATACCTGAAATATTCAAAAAATAGGAGATAGAGATCATTTTGTTTATTGAAATAATTACAAAATAACTTACTTTTGTCGGTAAACGGGTTAACGGGCTCGCAAGAAATGGCAAAATATGAGGAAATTAACTTTGAATAAAAAGTCAAAACCAAAAATCGGAATATCTGTCAAAGATGTCGTGCAGACATTTGTCTACCAGGTGCCACAAAGGTGACAAAGGGCAAGGATGATACACACTACTACTACAGGATGGCCTATATCCTCATAAGGCCTGTGTGTAAGGGCTCTGGGTAAAAGTGCAGTATAGCCCGGTCACTTAAAATAGTATTTTTTTGAATAAGAATCGTTTGTTTAACGTTCAAATAGTGCATTTTGAAGAAAATCTTCCAGCGGAAATCTTTAATTTCAAAATTACAAATTGAAATTATATTGACTATTTCACTAGAGTGTATTATACCAGCAATAAATTCGGTATTCACCTGACAATAATGCTACCTGGACAATACTAACAACATAACTTGAAGTTTTTATTCATAATTTTGCATTCTATTTATTTCAAAATCTTACGTGAAATAGTCATGACGAATACCACTCGAGAAAAAATTGTGTAGGCAAAATTGTTCTCAAGGTTTTATTCAAGCACTATTCAAGTTTGTTGCTTTTCGGCAATTTCGCTCATGACATTTTTGATAAAATCACTCGCCTGACGGCTCGTGATTTTGTCAAAAATGTCATTCGCGAAATTGCCAAGCAACCTGCAAGCAACAAACTTTCATACCTTTCGGAAATTTTGCCGACAAAATTTTTTCTCTTGTGATATTATGAAAATACTCAAAAAAATACTATTCTAGGTGACCGGGCTATACTGCACTTTATCCCCTAAATAAATATGCAGTATAGCCCGGTCACCTAAAATGTATTTTTTTTAATTAAAATTTGTTTGTTAAACATCCAAATAGTGCATTTGAAAGAAAATTTTTCACCGGAAATCTAAAAATTTTTAATTAAAAAATTACAAATTAAAATTGCACTGAAAATACTATTTATTTGTAACCGAGCTATAATGCACTTTTTTCCCTTAATAATTATGCAGTAATAACCCGGCAGTGGCGGTCCGTACATGATTTTCTGGGGGGGGGTAATGGATGACGGAAAAATCATCAAGTGTCGGAACGTACCGCCGGAGGCGAAATTTTTTTTGGGATGCCACGCCCAAATTTGCACCCGAAAGTCATTTAAAACAAGCTTGGGATAAAAATGTATCCCGATGCCGTCAAAATAGCTATACAGAGTGTCCACTTAGTGCGATATCGGACGATATCTTCTTACAGGGTGATGCAAGAATAAAAAATATAAATTCAAAGTTGTTTGATACTGTAATATGCATTATTTAAAAATATTTTTGAATATTCAGGGTGCTCTGTAAATGGGGTATGCGACAGAACTTTGTTATTCTTAAATGGAACACCCTATATTTCAGTACATTCTATCGTTCTAAAAATCCTACATACTTTTTGTTAGGAATCATCTACTGGGTGACCACGAGATTACTGACCAAGCTCTAGTTCAGGCATGAATATCAATATCGATTTCAAGTTTTGAGGATGTATATTATTGATATCGATGCAGAATTTCGCTATAAAAACAATCGACTATCGCTTTTGGTTTGACCGCAAGTGCCATCATCTTCTTTATTTCAACTAGATCTATATTATTACATTTTTGGATTCTATGAGAAATTCTAAGCATATTTTATGTATAATATCCTATACCTAACTTAAACAGTTTTCAAGAAAATCTCGATTGAAAATGTCAAAAAATAATTTCTATTTTAGTTTTGACAGCAAACAATGGATAGTGGGTTGGAACTTTTACGATATTTTTGACTCATTTTAGAAACACTAAAGGGTCCCACCACAAAAATATCAGTTCCGATTCAATCGAAGGTTTTCGGTCGGTCTACTTTTAAGGTTATGTTACTGCAATAATTTCAATGGTATCCCATACTTAGAACTGAAAATTCGTATTCTAGGAACAATTTTGAATCTTTTTTGTATACGCTTTCCTATACCTAAAGTCTACTGTTTTTGAGATATTTTAGGATTAAAGTTAATTAATTAAAGGATTAAAATTAATGCATACTGTTTTTGGTATTCGTTGTTCCGAAGACATCCTTACATCAAGTGTCAAATATCTCAAAAACAGTAGACTTTAGGTATAGGAAAGCGTACACAAAAAAGATTCAAAATTGTTCTTAGAATACGAATTTTTAGTTCTAAGTATGGTATACCATTGAAATTATTGCAGTAACGTAACCTCAAAAGTAGATCGACCGAAAACCTTCGATTGAACCGGAAGTTTTATTTTTGTTGTGGGACCCTTTAGTGCTTCTAAAATGAGTTAAAAATATCGTAAAAGCTTCAACCTTCTTTTCATTGTTTGCTGTCAAAACTAAAATAAAAATTATTTTTTGACATTTTCAATCGCGATTTTCTTGAAAACTCTTAAAGTTAGGTATAGGATATTATACATAAAATATGCTTAGAATTTCTCATAGAATCCAAAAAGGTAATAATATAGGGGGTGATCTAGTTGAAATAAAGAAGTTGATGGCACTTGCGGTCAAACCAGAAGCGATAGTCGATTGTTTTTATAGCGAAATTCTGCATCGATATCAATAATATACATCCTCAAAACTTGAAATCGATATTGATATTTATGCCTGAACTAGAGCTTGGTCAGTAATCTCGTGGTCACCCGGTATACCAAAACTCAACCGTTTTCATTTAATATTTTTTCAAAAAATCGCAGCTTGCATGTGTCAACAAAAACCAACATATTTCATCTATTCGAGATCCTATAATCTAAAGCTTTTGCAGGTTGTTAGTACATAATGTCTGTCGATTTTAATCTGATACTCCAACGGAATTTGAGAAAAGAGTCTAATCGTAGGAATTAATGAGGATCGGTGTGGTAGGCGGAGCCATGTATCGTTATAAGGTTAGGTCATATTTTGCGACCTTTATTACTTCAATTTCTACGTTTACTTTCACAGGCATGGTGTGTTCTAGGTAGGATTTTGGAGCAAATGGACCCGGGTTCGATTCTCGTTGGAGGTTGTTTTTTTTTTGGATTATTTCTAAGATTAATTATCAAGAGGACAGGTTAGTTTGGGTTAGTTTTGATTTGCTCTGTTTCTTCTAAAATACCAACACAAAGACTAGCACCCTAGCACTTATTACGAATTAGGTACGATACGAGCTCTCCGCCCACCACAGTGATCCTCATTTATTCCTACGACTAGACTCTTGTAATTTGAGCTGCTGGCTCCCTGCATTAGAACGCCAATGATTACCTGACGTCACACCTGTTTTTGCCATATGAAATACCCCCTCGCTCCTCATATGAAAAGTTTCAGTTTAGAAATTAGAAATTACTTATTTACTTCATGGTCCTATGAAAATCTGTTAACATTCTACAAGGTGTTCGCAATACTGTACACAAGACCAGACATTTCAAACAACCATAGCACTGTATAGTAGTGAGTACGCAAGGTTGTTTGAGAAAGGTAGGTTGCCTGATAACTTTATGACGTCATCTGGGGTGCCTCAAAATAATGCAAATCTGCATAAGGCCCCCAGATGCGTCATCAAGTTACCCATTACCAGAGAACCTATGAACTTTGGGAACCTTGGTGGGTACGTCGGTACTGGTGAGCCTATGATATTCATACGATACCTTTAATCCTTTACTTTGTAGAACTTGTCTTTTGTTGAAATTTAGTTGTAATTAATAAATGTATAAAAAAAAAAAATCTTTGTCTGGGGGGGGGGTACCCTCTCTACCCCCCCCCCCTTTAAACCGCCCTTGTAACCCGGACATCTAAAGATTTTTTTATTTAATTAAGAAAATGCAGATTAAGCAAACTAACTCTTACTAACCCGTCCGTAAAGTGCTAGCTAGTCTGCATAAGTAAAATACTGTTTATTTGTAACCGACCTATACTGCACCCCTAAATAATGATGCATGCAGTATAGCTCGGTCGCACCTATATATATATATTTTTTTATTGATAACCTATTTCACTTATTTAAAGTACTCCTCAGCGTGTTTAAATCCAACATTCAAAAACGCGCGTGTTTTAAAGTTACCAATGACAACATCAACAACCAACAACCCGAGAAAGGTTTAAATGTCAACTTATTAATTATTGATTTGTCAGGAGTAGGTTAGGTACTTGTAGATAACGTCAAATAAAATGTAACAAGTGTCAAGCACGAATGTAGCATTCTACAATTATTAGTAATTTATGATTTGAACGTATACCAATAAAAAAAAATTGTGTAAAGTATTCGTGGATAACTGGTGGATACTATTTTTTTCAATGAAAATCGTTTGTGTAACGACCAAATAGTGAATCAATGACGAAATTAATGAGTTATCCGCCGAGTATGTTTTATCATGATGTCTTCGTTAAACGTTAAAGCAAAGGCAGTGTGGATAGAGGTCCGAGAATTCGGATCTCTAGTGTTCATAATAAAGTTCCGATAATTCTCGGATTTTCAATTTGTATCTATATTAGAGGTCCGAAAATGCGGATCTTCAGTGGTATTATTGAAGATCCGAAAATAGATGTTTATTTCTAATTCTGTCGTAATTAAGGAATATTATACCATTTCAATAAAATTGATAAAATGCTTGTATTTTTAAGGATTTATACTAGAAAAAATGGATCCTCTAATCCTTTTTATGTAGAATAGCTAATCAAGTTTATTCGATTATTCCACTCATGTGTTAGAAATCCCATAAGGCAAGTGACGATTTTCAGAATTACAGCGAAAATTCTCTTTTCCATTTGTTTAACTAGAGAGAATTACAGCGATAATTCTCCCATGTTATTGTATACATGGTTGTCATGCTAATTTTTGATACAAACAAACGGTTCCTGATAGCAACCATTTATTTATATTGATTGTTAAGATGTTCAAATCGTTTAATACATATTTATTTCCATATTTTTTGCATTCTCGTACGTGAAATAATCCTCCAAATACCACTTGAGCTTTAAAATGAACCAGATAATTTTTCACTCATGCGTGTTTTCTCTGCAAATTTCACTCGTCCTACGGACTCGTGAAATTATAGAAAACACGCAATCGTGAAAGATGATCGGTAATTTTGAAGCTCTCGTGGTATTATCCCCGAAAATATATTGGTTGGTGCAATTTCAAACAGAAAAGTACAAAGAACAAAACTAAGTACCTTTTTATTTTTTTAAAACATTACATAATTAAAAATAAATGTTTCTTCATTTTAAGGGTTGATAGGGTAAGAGGTGTGAGGTGTGATTTAGTTCCTTCTGCATTGCATGCAAAACCAGGCTTTCTTATTAGAAGGCAGCTTTGTTACTGAACAACACACTTTATGTTTACACCGAAGACATGAATCATACCGTAAGCAATCTTCATGTATCACTTTGTTACATATATCACAAATCCATTTTAGAATACTATTTTGTTTTTCTCCAATTCGTTTTTGTAATAAAACATAAGAATCCAGACAAAAATATGTTTCTATTTCTGCTAAAGATATTTCTTTTTCAAGAAGAAGTGGATCAATTTGTTGATGATGAGGAATGATTTAATTCTCATTTTGAAAGTTTTTATATAGGTAATGCTTTGCTTACCAAATCATCTGTATTTAAAACTGCGTTAAGCATTATCTGGTGCCTCAGTAGGAACTTCATTTTTGAATAAAACACTTTTATTTTTCTCAGACCTTTTTAGTCCAATTGCAGTTAATTGATGTCCCTTGGGTCTTTCTTTATGGGTTTTAAAGGAAATTTAATGCAGTAGTATTTGGTTCTTGGGCTAGTTTCATTAAAATGGTGTCGCAAATATCTACAAAGAATAATATTCAAGATAAGTCTGTTTCTGCAGAAATCACAAATTAGAGCAAATTTCATTGGTTGAATACAGTCAGAAACAGTCAGAAATAAACTAGTATCAACCAATGAAATTCACTCTGACTGGTTTGTGATTTCTGCAGAAACAGACTATCTCGAATATTATTCTTTGTAGATACTTGCGACGATACTCGTTAATTAGACAGAACTAGAAATAAACATCTATTTTCGGATCTTCAATATTACCACTAAAGATCCGCATTTTCGGACCCCTAATATACAAATTGAAAATCCGAAAATTATCGGATCTTTAGTATGAACACTAGAGATCCGAATTTTCGGACCTCTATCCACTGCCTAAAAAAAATAGTGTCAAGTATTCGTGGATAACTGGTCTTTAAACACTTTTGCTCTATTTCGAGCACTCTGGCTGCGCCGTCGTGCTCGCAAAATCGCGCGTGTTTTAAAGACCTTAATATCCACTCATACTTTAATATACTATTTTCTAATTCTATATTATCCTTTATTTCTGTATTATCCGATAAAACACATCTTAAAAGTAACTTTTTATTCAATTGAATGAACAGAAATGATTATTTTAACATAGTAAATCGAAGTAAGTTATGATACTGCTAGAAATTATGAAAAAAATTAATTATTGGCTTAATAAACAAAATTATGAATAGTAGCTAGAGCTAGATGAATATTTAAAGGCGTTTTAATAATTGTACATTTTCTTTTCTCGATCATTGTCATTGGGGACCAAAGTCAAACGAAAAAGCATTAATATGTAGGCAGAGACTTAAGTAATTTTCAATATTATACAATGATTATTCTGATTTCAATTTTTCATCTGGTTTGAGACCGACAAGTTCTTCGCTTTTCTCCCATATCGATTCCGCGAAATTTTTATTCCATGTTCCAGGAGGAGAAGGAAACAGTCTACAGTCCCAGAAATGCTTTCCGGTCACTTCTTTAAGTTTATTGCACAGCGCTAGATGGATGATTGTCTGGGCACCTTCTTCGGCGGTCTAGTAAAAAAGGAAAATGGGGATTATACTTTTGTCACAATCATAGTGTTTTTCATAATAATAATATATGGTACAATGTGTTTCACTATATATAATATGTCACCCCACTTGCCCACTTGCAGCCTTCATCTTTCCAGTTAGAAGAAAAGTGTCAAAAATGTAGGTTAGAATATACTCACTTTTCCATAAGCAAACAGCACAATATTTCTTAGCAATTTAGCGAACGACTTGATGTCCAAGAAACTTCCTGGTTTCAAATAGAAGCTGGTATTAACCAATCCAGGGTGAAGAGAATTTGACGTCACGCCACTCTCCTTTAATCTTTCAGCGAAACCGTTAGCAGCGATGACATTACAGAGTTTGGAGTTGCCGTAGATCAGGGTGCTGTTGTAGAGTGACATCGGTTGGTTATCAGGGTAGTTGACGTTGTCTATAGTCAAATTGGTGATGAATGCTGAGGCTGAACTGACGAAGATTATTCTGCTTGGAGATGATTTTTTGAGGAGATCTGATCAATACAAAGAAATTGATTAGTTACGCATTTGTCATTAACAAACGGAAAATTAGTCTGGCAGAATCCGTCATCAGTTTAAGATGTAGCCCAATATTAAGCATCAGTGTATCAAAATATTGAATATTAGTAAATAAATAAGTGGGTAACTTAGGTTGTGATTAACAAAGAAAAGGAAATTCAATCTAATTATTCGAATAATGACGTCTCAATGATACAAAATGTTAGAAGTTAGGGTGATAATTTAATACACAATTTCAGATATCATAAACAAGAATAATGCAGGTAGGTATATTCAATGAAAACACAGGTATTATCCGTTCAGAATCCGATGTCCAAAGGTACAGGTAAAATTTATCACCTTTCAATGCTATTTGATAGGGAAAGGTGATAAATTTACCTGCACCTGTGGACATCGGATTGTGAACAGGATATAATGTATAATTTAATTCTAAACTTCGAAATTTGAAACGATTGTGAACAACTGTATTTTTAGAAAATGACTACAAATGAAATCTCTAAACAGTAAACTTACCTGTGAGTAAATGCGTCAATAGAAACGGTCCAAAATGATTATGTTGCATCGTAGGATGTAACCCATCAGCAGTATACTTATTTCCGACATTTCCCACGCAAGCATTATTGATCAAAATATCCAATCTTTCCTCCGTGGAGTTGATATCTTTGGCAAACTTCCTGACGGAGTCTAACGAAGCTAAATCGAGATGCTTTATAACAATGTTCGGATTGTGGGTTTTTTCTATTATTGTCTTCTTTGTTTTCGCTCCGTCTGCTTTATCGCCGATAATAACACGGGCACCCCTGGAGGCTAGTACAAGTGCAGTTTGGAAACCCAATCCTGAAATTGAAATAGAAGGGAATAATAAAATTTTAGCCTTGCTATTAATACTGGTGACAGCTTTTAAAACTAAAGTTAAAAAAAAAACTTTTGGTTTTGTTAGAGAGTATAAAAAATCAGCAAAATAATAATACTAACCATTCTTAAGATTAATTTGTTTTAATTAACAGTGTAACAATAATTATTATGTATTTACAAAACAATAATTATTTATCCCTTACGTTTAAGTTATATTAGTTTTGGGGAAATGGGAAATTAATTGAAAAACGCTGGGACCGGGTCTGTCAATCTTATTATAGAAGAACAAATAAGAAATACCCAAACGACAAACCAAAAGTGAGCTACTCTTCCAAAATCATTTATGTATATTCAGGACAATACAGAAATCACAACAAAGCTAGCACTATCACAATACTTCGTTTAACCACAATGATTATGCTCAACTATTCAGAAAAGTAAATCACAACTCGCTGTTCTACTATAATCGCGTGCTATATTCTACCCATCCTATCATTAATTTATTCACATTTCACGTTCAAAATATATATTAGGAACTGATTCTTGATACATTGGAGTTTAATTTAGCACTGACCTATTCCCTTAGTGGCCGACTCCGTTTTAACGCGCGTCGTTGCTTCTAAATAATTCGCTTCTGTTGGTCTCGAATTCGATGGACGGTAAAATTCCAACTATTTAGGCGAATGACCATGGACTTTTAGATTCTTCTATAATATCATCCTTCCATATTTCTTTTAGCATGGAGTTAACTTGGTGCTCTGAAAAAAGGGTGATTCCAACTCTTTTTGTGCCATAAGGTCCACTTAACTCTTTTTGACATAGGCTCCTCGTTCTCCCATCTACCGATGAGCTCTCTTTTCTTCAACGTCGTCCGATTTATCAATCAATTGATTTCCCTTCCTAGAATAACTTTGTTGGTATTGACTGAACATTACTACCACTAGAGTTACCATACCATCTGTTTTCGGCTAGTTCCACTACCATGGTAGTCAAGCCTACTAGCTGTTCTTTTAGGTTTACCTTTACGATCGGTCCACCTATTACCTGGAATTCCCTTATTTTTACTGATAATGATGTCAACTTGAGAGTCCTTATTTGGAGGAGGCGATAAGAGTATTTCTTTGTTGCCCACGTTCAGCATTCTATTTCCATAAAATCCATAGGTGCAAAATTTGTGATTTCTCCAAAAAAAATTATCAAATCTCTTTTAGCAGTTTCCAGAAGCGGTTGATTTTCCAACATCACGCTCTCAGAAGCCTTGTCGGGCGCAGCACTGATCCTGTGTGTATGGTGAAATCACATTTCTTGCCGTTGAGGGTATCTTTGGAAACGAGATTTTCATAACTCCTTTCAATGAAGAGCATAATATGGGAACGTAGGAATCCTCCTTATATTCTTCAGATACACTGTCAACTTGGGGTTTCCCTGATGTCTGGAGCCACCTTCTTCCTGCGCATCGCGATCTTCTTCCATACAGTATTTCTGCAATAAGTACTGATCGTTTATTTGTTCAATGATTTCTTCTAGAGCTCGTGGATATGCCAACGTAACTATTATCTCAATTTCACTCATAAATTCCTTCGACATCTCTGATGAATCTCTGCTCTTAAGCCTGCTTTGATACACTTGACTGATATATCAGTTTCCATACCTAAGCTGCATAGTCACTTGGTTTTGCCTCAGGAATATTCTGGGTAATTTCGCAGTGCCTACTCCCATAATTTTAGTACAAATTTTGCTTTCTGTTATTTGTCTTATCCATTTGGACTATAGTGTATTTTTTGCTAAGCTGGTTTAATCAATCATACTCGACCAATTTTAATGCCATTAATCCTTTACAGAGTGAACAAATAATATTTCTACCTACATGTCGCTTGGTATCTTATTGGTATTTGGTATCTTCCACGTATGACATAAAATTATTCAGTGATAAAACCCACTGTTGTAGCGTTAGACGCGCTCACCCTCTAACCACTGTTGGGGATCACAGATAGCAAACAGCAAACCTAAAGAAAATAAAAGAAAGTGATAAGCAAAGGCGTAGCAAGGATTTGAATAGTCGAAAAAAACTTGAACATAATATTTTTATTTAATGAAAGCATGTAAATCTATACTATGTGAGATTAATTAGGTTGCTGTTGCTAGTATAAGTACCATCGTCACCAAAATTATCTGGGACAAAAATAATTCATAATAATCTCCTAGACTACTTCTACTATCATTCATTTTATTCATAGTTTGACAAATATTTGACACTCAAAATTATATAATAGTACAAGTGCTAATATGATGCTGTCCCAGTTACTTTTGGTGACGATGGTACAGGGTGGCCTGCTTAAGAGGGGCCTATACCTTATCTCGAAATCTAGAAGGGCTGTAAAAAAAACTTAAATACAAAAGTTGTTTCTAATAAAATTATCTACATTTTTTTTTGTATTGTTTTGAGTGTCACTCTACTATATACAGGGTGGACAGATAAAATTTAATTTTCTTCAATGAAACACCCTATATTTAAATACATTTTTACATAGCCCTTTGAAAGACAAATTCAACCATATACTCTTTATGTGTCTGTGATATACCGTTTCGAACTTATTAACGATTATCCTTAGGCTTTGGGATAATTTTAAACAGTCATTGCTACGTTACTCATAAACTTTTAAAACTTTTTTTTGTATAATATTTGTTATAAAATAATGCGCTTCTTCAGACTATATTAAAACATGAAATATTTGTTTAGAAAACGCGGTGTTGCCACGTTTCGCAAAATGTTACGCTTTTCAATTTTTTTAAATGGGACCTCCAGTAAATTTTCGAGTTTTTGGATAGCCCTTTAAAAGACAAATTCAACGATGTACTGGAAATGGGTCTGTAATGCACCGTTTCGGCCTGATTGGCAATTATCTTCAGTTCTAGCACAATATTTCATCTGTCCAAGTCGCCTGTTGAATAACAAAAATGTCTATTTTCCGTCGACCGTCTATTAACGTGCTTTAATAAATGTATAAAAAATTGTTCAATAATGCCACCATTAATGCATAAAAAGCACTATTTCAGCTAATCCACTGCAAATTTAGACATTTTTTTCATTCAATTACAGGGATGACATGAGATATTGTGCTAGAACTGCAGATAAACGCCAATCAGGCCGAAACGGTGCATCACAGATCCATGTCCAGTATATTGTTAAATTTGTCTTTTAAAGGGCTATCCAAAAACTCGAAAATTTACAGGAGGTCAAACTTAAAAAAATTGAAAAGCGTAACATTTTGCGAAACATGACAACACCGCGTTTTTAAAACAAGTCTTTCAAGTTTTAATAGTCTGAAGAAGAGCATTATTTTATAAAAAATATTATACAAAAAGAAGTTCTGAAAGTTTATGAGTAACGTAACAATAACTGTTGAAAATTACCCCAAATCCTGAAGATAATCGCTGATAAGTTCGAAACGGTATATCACAAACACATAACCAGTATATCGTTGGATTTGTCTTTCAAAGGGCTATGTAAAAATGTAATAAAATACAGGGTGTTCCATTAAAAAAAATGAAATTTTATTTGTCCACCCTGTATATAGTAGAGTGGCAACAAAAACCATAGAAAGAAGTTGTAGATAATTTTATATGGAACAACTTTTGTATTTAAGTTTTTTTTACAGCCCTTGTAGATTTCGAGATAAGGTATAGGCCCCTCTTAAACGGGCCACCCTGTACATACAATGACGTAAAAAAAAAAAAAAAAAAAAATGATTGATGACGAAAACGATTCCCCTGTTCCACCTCCAGCATGAAGCGCTGGGAATGCTGAAGTGGAACAGGAGAAATCGTTTCCGGTCTCTATTTAGCCTTAGACTTTTTCTAGACATTTCATTCTATTGCATTAAAATTGGCCCGTAAGATGTTCACTTGCCAGACCGGTATAGTCTGTCTATGTTTGCTGGAGTCTCTTACACAGGGTGTACCATTTAAAACGAAACAGGCTGAATATCTGATGCCACGTTTATTTTTAAAATAATCGCTCGTACACGTAATTTGATTTTCAAAGGGGAAAGTTTTCTGCAACCATTTTCTCCTCTTCCACTTTTACCCTTTAGGCGGGGTGGAATCAACCCTTACTATTTCAAATGGAACAAGGGGTCGAGTGATCTTTTAAAAGAGTGTTCAATTCTCTTTCATTCAATGTCATTTGAAAGAAAATTGAATGCTCTTTTAAAACCAGGTATCACTCGAACCCTTGTTCCACTTGGAATGGTAAGAGTTGGTCCCACCCCCCTAGAGGCTTTAGTAAGTGCTGAAAATGGTTCAAACTCTCACAATAAAATTACATGTAGGAGCGATTTAAAAAAAAAATAAAAGTGAAATCAGCCTGTTTCGTTTTAAATGGTATACCCTGTATATTTGGCTCTAAAAGTTGTGAAAATACTATCCCACTAGTTCAAATTTGTGATCCATTGTACCTGTAAAGGTGGAAGCTGCAAGTAAAATTTGTGGCACGGGGTTTTTCTAATGGTATTTGTAAAATTTTTATCGCCAAATATTTTGGAGACGGCTCAAGCAAATATATACAAACTATATATTTTTGGAATCGGAAAACTGCCCTCTTTAAGAATATAGAACCAAATATTCAATTTGAAAAATGTTAAAAGTATGTAATATTTCAGATTTCTGACATTAACTGTTTGGTTCTGATGATGGATACTAGAAATTTAGCTAAAACTGTACAACTTTTGTATTCACATTTATCACTGTAAAGGTGATGTGTCAATATATGAGGAAACACCCTGTACACACGTGCCTGAATTTCATTAGATTTAAACAATACAGTTAAATCATGAAACAGAGATTGCTTAACACAATAAAAATACAAATTAAAACATATTAATAATGAAATATAAACGTATACAGGGTGCCCTACCGGGAACCAAAGTAATCTATGTATAAAAAACTGTATCCAGAAAATTTTTGAAAATTTGACAGTATACTAATGTCAAAGGAGGCAACCCGTCTAAAATATTTTCAATATGGTGGCTCTTCCGATTATACTAGAAGTAGACGTCAACTTGCTTATTTTAAATGAGTCACCCTGTATGTGATTGCATATATGGATTTTTCGTTAAATTCTGGGCAAATTTCATGTGATATACTCTATACCTAAGTTCAATTGTTTTGGGAATATTGATAGTTGAAAATTGACTTTTTTGCAACTCTGACAGGCTGTAAAACCTAAACGCCTAATTTTAGAGCTAAACAGATCTTACATCTTTGTTTTAGATTTTCATAAGCTATCAGTTAACACCAATATGTACCTATTTGACACCAACTTTGAATTTAATCCATGATTGAAAATTCCAATTAAATTTAATCTCCGGTTAAATTCAAAGTGGGTGTCAAATGATAGTTTATGGAAATCTAAGAAAAAAATGTTAACCGTTTAGCTTTTATAACCTGTCAATATTTCCAAAACAGTTGAACTAAGGTATAGGGTATACCTATCATATGAAATCTACTCAGAATTTTACGTAGAATCCGAATATTTAATAATATACAGGGTATTCTATTTCAAATAAGAAAGTTGGACGCATCCTTCTTTCAGGCAGAGATCTATGCCATCCTAAAATGTGGTCACGAAAACCTCGAACATGCCTTTACAAATAAGGATATTTATGTCTACTCGGACAGCAGAGCGGCACTGCAGGCACTGTCATCCGAAAGGGTGGACTCAGCGATAGTGGCAGAGTGTAAAACTACGTTGTGCACTATAGCCAGACACAACAGGGTCAACCTCGTATGGGTACCGAGACATTCCAATGTCCGAGGCAACGAAGAGGCTGGCTTTCTGGCGAGGAAAGGC